ATCCTCATAATGGTAAATCACAAACAGGATATTTGTTCACAAGTGGTGGTACAGCCATTTCATGGCGATCTGTAAAACAAACCATATCAGCCACTTCATCTAATCATGCTAAAATTTTAGCATTACATGAGGCAAGTCGTGAATGTGTTTGGCTAAGATCTGTGATTCAACACATACGGGAAACTTGTGGTTTATCTTCTGGAAAAATGACATCGACAATTATATATGAAGATAATGCTGCATGTATTGCACAATTGAAAGATAGATACATAAAGGGAGATAGAACAAAGCATATTTTACCAAAATTCTCTTTTTCTCATGATCTTCAAAGGAATGGTGATATAAATGTTCAACAAGTCCGCTCAAGTGACAACTTAGCAGATCTCTTTACAAAGTCACTTCCAAAAAAGGTTTTTGAACAATTGATACACAAGATTGGACTCGGTCGTCTTAAAGATTGTATACATAAGGGGGAGAAATAAATATTTATGAATGATGTACTCTTTTTCCTTCACTAGGTTTTTATCCCAAAGGGTTTTTCCTAGTAAGGTTTTAACGAGGCACATTCTAAATATTGGACATCTAAGGGGGAGTGTTATGAATAATAATTAGTGGCTTAATTAGTGATGTCAATATTCATTATCAATCATTACCATTTATATTTTCGTTATGTATTATTCCTTTTATTGTGTAATTGTTCAGTTACCAAATGTACTTATAAATAGGTTACTCCTCTCCCAAAGATAATATACCAGTCAGATTCTTTTCTCTATCTCATACTGTCTCATTTCTTCTCTCTATTTTTTCTTCCTTTTATAACAGGATTAGTTTTTAATAGAGTTTTTTTATTTAATAATTCACTATTTAGAGTATTTATTAGAGCCGTGAAAGTGGGCCGGGAACCATGGGCCAACCCGGCCCACCTTGAAAACGGGCCGAGCCGGGCTAAAAAAAATTGAAGTTTTATAGTAGGTGAATATATCTCAACCCGGCCCACTTTGACCCGGCCTACCCAGGCTAAACCCGTGGTGGGCCGGGTAGCTCACCAACCCACCATTTTTTTTCAATAAAAGTTTAAGTATGATTTGTAGTTAATTTTATATATGATGGGATATTGAAAATTTTTATTTTAGACTTTTATCATGATTTGTATTTAATTTTGTATGATGAGTTATGACTTAAGACTATTAATGATGCTAATTTTATGATTATTAAGTTAATTTAAAATTTTGAATTTTGTTGATAATTTTTTTAAAATTTTTGGTGGGCTAGTGGGCTAGCCCGTATAACCCACCAACCTGTGGTGGGCTGAGCTGGGCCAAATTTTTGTTGAGAAAATTAAAAGTGGGTCAGGTTGGGTTGACTCGTTTTTAAAGTAGGTCAAGGTGCCGTTTTGACAGCTCTAGTATTTATAATGGTGAATCGTATAGCTCATTCATAAAAGTTTTTAGTTTATTTAAAATATAATTTACTGTATTATATTATTCTTCACATTACATTTATATTAAATTTTGTTCTAGTAATAAAATTTTATAGCAACTTATACTTTAATAATTTTTATTTGTACTTTTCATTTTGAAAATTTTAAAATTAATTTAATAATTATAATTAAATATTACTTTAATTAAACTTAAAAAACTGAATTTTAACATGTGTAACGTAGAAAAAAAATGTGGCTGATTTAGTAGCCCAGAAGGGCTGTTCCCAATCTGGAACGGGCTGTTCCAAGCTATTAAATTGAACTGAAAATCGTAGTTGAGAACGGACCGTTCTGGAGGGAGAACGGGCCGTTCTGGTGGGAGGACGGACAGTTCTGTTGGGAGCACGGGCCGTTCTGGATAAAAGTTACGTTTTTGTACTTTTTAATATCATTAAATACTAATTAAATGCCTAATAATATTTAAACTTTTTGGTACTTCTTCGACCAAAACTTTTAGCATTTTAAATGCTAAGGAATAGGATCTAGCTCGTTAGCCCTCTCAACCCTTGTAAGATATTCTTAGTGTAGGAAATTCACACTATAATGTTTGATCACCATTTTTCTTTACATGATAATGATATGCAAAAATTTTAACACATAAATCTATAGAAAGTTTCATAGTTTTTTTTTTTTTAAAATACAGGTGATTCATGAAATATACTTTGGATAAAATAAAATATTATTCAAAAAATATATTTTATAGTAAATAATTTAAAAAGAATTAAGCTTAAATAGTAATATAATATTTAATATTACTGCTTAGTATTAAAATTAATATTTAAAAATAAAAATGTATAGTAAATTATTATTAATTGTGAAATATATTTTAAAAGAACTAATTCATTTTAAATGAGCACAAGTAACAATTTTTTTTTTGGTAAAATCATAAGTTAAAAATAATATTTAATATTTAATGTCACTACTTAAATATATCAAAATTCTATAAATTAATATTCAATTATTAAAATTGTACGATTAAGCATAAGTAGTGAAGTAAAGGATTTAATTTATTTTATTAAATATGATTAGGTCCGCTAAGTTTTAGCAATATATATATATATATATATATATAGTACGGACCGTTCTGGATGGAGAACGGGCCGTTTATATATATATATGGGTTTTGCTAATATACTCTCACCTATTTTTTAGTTGGAGTATGTTAGCAATTTACATCAAAATTTTAGAACAAGAAAATCGCTCATTTATTTTGATTAGATTAATTTGTATAAAGAATATTATAGTAATTTAATTTAATTTAAAAAAATATTTTCTCTCTCTTATTAATTTCATTCTCCAACTCATTTCCTTTTTTTTATTAATTAATTTTTTATTTATTCAGAGAGAGGGGAAACATTATGAGAGATGAGAGAAATTTAAAGAAGGAATTTAATAGAAGATAGATAAATGAGTTAGAGAAAGAATTTAATAAGAGAGAGAAATGAGTTGGAGAAGAAATTTAATAGGAGAGATAAATGAATTAGAGAATAAAGTTAATAAGAGAGAGAAAATATTTTATTTTATTTAAATTAAATTATTATAATATCTTTTATACAAATTAACTAAATAAAAAAATGAGTGATTTTCTTGTCCTAAATTTTGGTGTAAGTTGCTAACATACTCAAACTAAAAAAATAGGTAAGAGTATATTAGCAATCCTCATATATATA